TTCTGAAATGTAAAAAAGAATGACAACTTCGTTTCTTACTACAAAAACATTCATTCCAAATCGCTACGATATTTGATTCAATTTGTTCTCATAAAAAAGCTATTAGCCAAATATTATATTTTTTATTAACCGGCTCGGTTCTAAATATCTAGAAAATATATTTTTTTAGTAGTATAGTTATAAATGTTTTTGTTGACAGCCGGAAAAACAATCCTCGAAGAAAATCGTGTACTTAAATTCTTGAATGTACTTTTATATGTACTTTCTTCTTCTTAACAAAAAAATACTTAGCCTATTTTGCTAGAAGCGCCTTTTGTTTTATTTTTTGTAATTAAGATACTTTATAAATCATTTAATACCTTAGTTAATATTATTTTTATTATTTAGCAAACAAAAAAGAAATCGGTCGATATACAATAACCTAATAATCCGTACAAAGGTAAAAATTAATAACATAAATTTTGTTTATAATTATATAAGATATTGTTTTCTCAGCTTTTAGGGCGCATTGGCAAGAACTTTCGGACTTGGGTTTTATATTTTTCAACCTAGTATCACCAAAAAATGTTTCATTCAAATCGGTGACCACACGTTCCTAACCTCGATAACGAGATTATATTAATTCAATTACATTCTGTAGGCATCCGAATTATTTTTCCTTCCTTGTTTAAGTTTTAGATTCTGCGCAATGCTTTATTTTCGAATACTTAAAGGCGTTGTTCTTATTGTAATGTGAGCGGCATCCGTAAAGAACGTTGGGAGTATAATTGTCATGTAAATGGTTACTTTCAGTTTTCTGGACTGTAAAAGCAAACGGAGTAATTTAGTGATAAAAATAACAAACACGTCCAGCCTTAATCATATTTTTATTTTACACTAGCTGTACCCGGCCACGCGTTGCTATGGTTCATTCTGGTTAAATAAAGCATGAAGTAGAAAAGAAATTAGATGTTTCTAATATATTTTATGTAACAATACTTGTGGATATTCTTTGTTGCTCCATTCTTAGTAAAGATACAGAGATTGTCTGGTTTTCTAACTCTTGAAACCAAAACATATAATTGTCTATATAAGAAGCAATCGGTCTCTGAATCTCCCACGAAAAATGACTAAACGTTTAAAGCATTATTTCTCTGCACCAAATCGTCCAATTTTAGTGATTTTTTTTTTATTTTTGAAGGGAATCAAAAAATCTTTTAAATAATGATAGGTATAATCCATCAAAAATATAATTATTCGCAAATATAATTTTGAACCCATCGTAACTTTTATTCCATACTCTTTTCGGGGAAGGATGTTATATACAAAAATTAAAAGGGCTTCAAGGAGAATACTGTAGCCTAGTTTAATTAAAATCGTTTCAGCCGTTTAGGCGCTACAGTCTATAGCTACAAATGTTTTTGGGACGTAATTCCGAAACAAGAGAGTGATTAAATGTATATAAAACACTCCTGAATCCGATAGAAACATTTTGTCAATATTTCAAAGCGATCGGTGAAGAAGTTTCGGAGATTAGCGGTTTTGAACAAAGCAACATTTACGTTTTTATTAATACAGATATTTAATGTATCAGATATTTCTTTATTTTTTTTATTATAATTTTTTTTTCAATATACATAATATATATGCACATTATAGTATATAAAAGAGCTGAAAAATATTCAATTGTGCAAGAGAAAAATTAAACAGTCATAAGATGATAGGAACTATACCAAAAAAATTTTTAAACATTTTTTTATTCTAAAACAAAGAACACCATGTCCATTATTTTATTAAATAATTTAGTAAATAAGAAAGAAATTTTAATAGCTCAAAGTTATGGATCATTGGCTCCTCTGAACAAATAACAAAAAAAATAATGGAAATGGCGCTGTTTACTTAAATTCTATACTATTCTACATGTCACACTACTCTCAACATAAGTAGATCTCGCATCCATCATCTTTTTTAATATTTTCGTAACGATAGGGTAGTTAATCATATCTTTAATTAATCTATTGGTTCGTGAAGTTTATTCGCGAATTAGGTTGTTGCCAAATTAAATGCTGGAAAGGTGTATCATGGAAGTTTGAATACTATAAGTGGAATTCCTGTTGATTTAGGATGACCAGTTTAGGATGTTGTTGTTTTGTTAAAAGTAGTACCATGAGAATAGCTTAGTATAAAGAATAAATTGTATAGGAGCCCGCATTGAACCTTGTGGTACTCCTGCCAAGACAGATCGAATTGAAGACATTTTCAATTCCAAAAAAATATAGAAAAATCTATACACCTTATATATTTTATTTTCTAGAAGGTAAAATATACATTGTGTGAGGCCAAAAAGCAGATGGATAGAGAGAATCAACAAAGAAGCAATAGAGCTGCATGTGCAGAAAAATGGAAAGAAATAGTCCAAGGTTTACATGGTCTGTAATGCCTACAGAAATATATATATAAACATAGGATTTTCTAATTAAAAATAAATTTCCACCGAATTCAAATCAGTAGTTGTTGAGACAAAAAAAGTGTGACTAAGTATTAAATATATATGTATATATTGTGTACCTCGAGAAAGAACTGACTTCAACCCAATAAAATTATATAGTTAATCTGAAAAACTCATATTACGGTGCACAAATATTTCGATTTTTAACACCGACAAACCAATAAACAAAATGGTTGAGGAAAAGTCTATTAATCAAAAAGAACTAGACTAAATTTTTTTTTTTTCTGGCCGCTTATTCTCCAATGCTTTCCCAAACACTATTAAACTATTTTAGAAACCTCTAAAACTCTCTAGGAAAAGCAGATGTTTTACATTATCGTCATATCCATTCTAAAATCAGCCAAAACGTTATATATCTTTAAACTCAGACATTATATTCTCAGGTCGAAAATATTGTTCATAAAATTCCAGAGCTCCGCGTTTTTAGCCACGCCGAGTAAACAAATATATATTAGAATAAAATATCGTCTTATATAGCTTTTCTCCGGAATTAGTATTCTGATTTTTTTTTTCTTTTTTATTTGTTCACAAAGTCACAGTTTACACCTGGATGGTACTTGGGACACGATATTACCACCCACCATTTTGTTTCTAAATTGATGCCGATTGTAGATATCCAATGTCCATAGTTTTGTAACTTCGATAGTTTTATTAGTTTCAATTCTTGAGCAGAGAACTCCTTTTTAATTCAATGGTCTGTGGATTACTTTTGTTTATACTAGTGATGGACTCAGCAATACGAAGGGCTAAAGGAAAAATGCGGAAATTTCACCTGGGATATGCCAACCTGAGGTCAGTGAGCCTCTCCATACTTGCATTTGCTGATGACGTTGTTATTTTTTCGGACAGTGACAGGAATCTTCAGTGCAATATTAATAGATTAAAAGAAGAATTGCAGAAGATTAATATGATTATCAACTCTGTAAAAAAGAAAGTAATGAGGGTTGGGAAGAAGCCTAGGAGAAATATGCGCGTCGTCAGAGTCGAAGACAGAATTATCGATCAGGTAGAAAACTTCAAATACTTGGGCGCACACCTTAATGAAAATGGATGCATCGGTTCAGAGGTGACTGAACGAATCGCTGCTGCGAGCAGGATGTTTGAGGCAGTTAAGAGAGGTTTTCTGAACAGGCGCGAGGTGGAAAAGAAGACAGAACTAGCTGTTTTCAAATCGGCATTTCTTCCCATTTTAACGTACTCTTCAGAATCATGGACGCTGACAAAGAAACATCGATCAAGGATGCAAGCGTCAGAAATGCGATTCCTCCGAAAGATTGAGGGGAAAACGAGAAGAGATAGAGTACGCAACACCACCATCTGGTCGAACCTCAATATTAAGCCGGCCAATGATGTGATTGAGGAGAATCGACTGAGATGGCTAGGACATCTTCTGCGGAACCAAACAGAATAGCTAGCGAAATCTATCGATCTAAAGTAGACGGCAAGAGAGGAAGAGGACGGCCTAGAAGGAAATGGGAAGATGAGGTAAAGAGCGACTTCCAGAGAAGATGTCTTCAATGGTATGATAGAAGGCGTCTTGTTGAAGACCGGCAGAGCTGGAGAAGGCTGTGTAAACTTCCTCCTCACACTGCTTAATGCGGTTCAAGAGGATGGATTATGATGATCATGATGGTATGTGGATTAAATGCATTCATGAAGTTCATTCACTATTATCCTAGACGCAATCCGTATACGGATGGATGAATGAACGGAATGTTGTTTTACGTTTTGGGTTAAGTTCAATAAACCAACATGATTTTATTGCATATCACTAAGTAATCTATTTTCTTTCTTTTTTTTTCCTTTTTTTTCCATATGCTGTTATATATGTCAGTAGTATCTATGTATTCTTAATTTGTAAATACTATTAATACTTTCATTTTTAATAAATGCCATAGGTTGATCATGATAATTATAAAATGGAATTATTATTATCGTGTCCTAATGAACAATTATGAAGGGATTTATTTATTTGATTCCCGTCTGTCATATATTTCAATTGAAACTCGTAGGCTCCTAGTCACTTCCTTAATATTTCCTAACTTTGACTATTACTGTAATGCTATAGCGGATCCAGGATTTAATTTTTGGGGGGAGGGGCTTCAGCCCTAAAGCTCTTTTTTCATAAAAATAACGATAATTACTAAGGAAAAAAAGAAAGAAACTAACTACCTATATGAAATGGTGTTTAAGTGATTCCTAAAGTCCTTTTAAATGTAATTACACGAACAATATTATTTTAAGAGATAATTTTTTAATATTTTTTATCATAAAACATGGTTATATTTTACCATTTGGGAGGGGAGGGAGTTCAACCCCAAAGCCTCCCCCAGTAGATCCGCCCGTGCTGTAAGGTATATGATCTGTATATTATTCTAAAGGGGCTTGTCCCAGAATAAATGTGGCAGGTAAAGAAAGTTGCTCCATTAGGAACATAAAAGATACTCATTTTTTATTTTAAAATATAAATAACTTTTCTTTCTTTTTCTGTTTTTTTTTTTAAATGTTGCAGTTGTGAAGTAGATACAAAATAAATAAAACCGGAGCCAGTGACGTGTAATCGTCCCGCGAAATGCGAATTAAGTTCAAGGTGCATTTGAACAAACGAAAGAGAACAAAAAGATTCAAACCGTTACTATAATTAATCGGAATAATAAAAAGATACTCGAGTGTTCCGAGAAACACAAAAGGAAAAACAGGCAGCCGTTTAAAGCCTGACAGAAGCATCTTGTATCCGATTCCGAGAATACATAACGATAATACCAGGAAATTCGACCACGCTTAATCTCGGATGGACAAGAAGAATTGCACTCGCTGTAGCATGGTGGTACAATATGGTAAACAAATGGGAGAGGCATAAACCTCGACAAGTTCGCAATACTATTACATGGTCAGAACTTCAAGTTATTGAAAATATAGTAATGCGTACTAAATGACAACTAATTAATATGAAGTAATTATTTATTGAAAACACAGTAGTTTCCCGTCCATCGACATTATGATAAAATCCTATTAGTCCCCTTGGTTTTTTTTTTATCAAATCATTAACATCCCCTCAAACTTCGTAAATAGCTTCATCTCATCGTAACCTACAAATATTTTTATTTACGAAAATTCAAGGAATTGGAGCGTTTTCAATCTAGAAATTATCAAACTTTGTGTATTTAATTAGGTACTAAAAAACTTGTAAATACCCATTTGTTATCCACTTGGATCGTAAGATAATTTGATCAAAAAATCGATAAAAAAGGTGGACTACAAAAATATTGGGCCGTTTGTCCTATACAACCTTGTTATTTTGACAATTTGGGGGTGTGGGTCACGCCAAATGGGTCAATATTTTTTGTTCCTCGATTTTGTATTCAAATATCTTATGATTCAAGTATAAAGCAAATGAGTATTTACGAGTTTTTAATACCTAATTAAATAGACAAAGGTTGCCGACATGCAGATTGAAAACGCTCCAATTCCGAGAAGTTTTGTAATTAAAATATATGTAGGTTACGATGAGATGAAGCTGTTAAAGAAGTTTTAGGCAGATTTTAATAATAAAAAGAAGTCTGTCATATAAATCCTACCTAACAAATGTATGAGCATTGATGTCCAAGAGGATTCGAATGGCACAAGAAGCAGTCTCAATATTTTTGAGTGGGGCACATTTTTACGGTGTTCTGAATTTTTGTATGTGGATGTGATTTTATGTAATTTTAATTTTGGGAGATTTCAATAGGGAAACAATGAGGAAAACGTGGAACCAATCACGTGTTAAATCATCTAAAATTTTTCTAATTCTACTTTCGCTAGCACTGTTTTCAACAACAGGAGAGCAATGAAATTTGATTTACTCCTCTTTAAGGAATATTTAAGGTCAAAAATATTCATACTGTTATAAATTAATTATTAATTAAATTATCGATCAATAAAAGAATTAAAGATGATTTATAAATTAACCGATTTGTATTTGACATTGTACATCCCCAAATAAAAAATATCTCTGAATCCATTCTTCACGTGCACCTTATTCACTTTTCGAGGTTTTGTAAAACTAATGTGACTAAATCGTGAATGGAAAATAAACTTTAAAAAAATGAATCGCCTATAGATAACACCGGTTATTCTCAGCGAAGAAATCGGTCTCGAAATAATTACGAAATAAAATATCTTGAATGATAAGATTAAGAGAGATAAAATTTAAAAAACTAAAAATAACGGAAATTCTTTTTTTCTCATAGTAAAACAGTTCAGTACGAGCGTACTGCCCAGAAATATAAAAACAGAATATTCAGCTTATTATTTTGATACTACTCTTAAAGAGTTTGAAGTTGGAATGGCGCACAGTGATCTGAGAGTTGCAAAAACCTCTATTTTCAAGATGTTATGATAATTCAAATTTCTATATTTTTAATGTCTGACATAAGTCATATATTCCTAAAGTTAAGGCACGAATAAAAACACCCGTTTAAAAGATATTCAATAAAATATAAGTAAAAAGCCTGTTTCTGCCACAATAATCATGCAACTTGTTATAAATCATTAAATATATTTTAGGAGTTTTTGCTGAATTACGAATATGACTTTTTGTTATGTATTTTTTGGAAATGAGTCAAATAAGTTATTTCTAAATAAATTTTTTTTAAATGTTTTTTCATAGGATAAGTTATCAGTCAACGGATCCTGGAATTTTCTTTTTCCATCCAAAATATCTCGCGCCAACGACCGCCGAGGTCTTACTGTAATCAAAATGTTATTTGACCCCACTGCTAATCATGAATAGAAAAATCAGCTACGATAATTTGAGATTTTGGTAATTATCTGGCAAATTCAGTCAAGAAAGTTATACCAAAAACGAGAAAGAAAAAATTCCTATCTATATATAAAGTTATACCTAATTTAATTTACTCCTTTCCGTCATAGAAAACCGGAGGAAAAGTATAGAAACAAAAAAACTGAAAGAAACTGAAAAGGAAATTATTGAAGAGAAATTCTAATAATTTCGTGACTCATAATTGATACTGTATTTGGTTTTATCTTCATTTAGTTGCAGGTTGATTCGCTCATCTTCTCTTACCACTATGTCTTCTGTATAGTAATATAAGTAATAGATATTTAAAATTGATTTGGTCAATAACCTTTTACAATAAATTTTCACTTTTACAACATATTACATGCAAAACATATTTTATTTATAATTGAAAAAAATAACAATAATAATAACGGTTGCTCTTACAAAAATAGTTTTATTGTATATCAATTCAGAATGTCCGGCATGCTATAATAAATTCAGTTTTTCAAATATCTTGCTTAAATTGAAAGTTTCCTAGGGTTTTTGCCGTTTTATGCCTTTTCCGGCCAATTATTCAATAGTATTTCGTAAGATATTTAGCATGGAACACGTTGAATCTTCTGGAGAATTTGTGAAGCTATATAACGCGAAATACTTTTGGTATTTATAATTGAACTAACAGTACCCTGAAGGCGACTAGATTTTTTTGACGCCCTAGGAGAAAAAAAAAAAAATAGAATTCCCAATAATCATACTCCCACTCCTCGTCAAATAAAACAAAATTTACTTAATTATTGACTATGTTTCAAATAATTTAAAATCTACCTGTATAGTAAAAAAAAAAAACTCGAGAGGCTTACTAGATGCAGAGCTATAAATGCGTTTTGACCAGTTTCACGTTTTGATTTTTCTTTCAGTTACGCTAATAGTTTTTCCAGCAATAAAAAAAAAACGGAAAACATAATTCCACCATTTCGCTTTTTTCTACCTCTGAAAATTCCACTACGTGGTCTATACGAAGAAACCGGCTCTAATAGTACTGGAGATCGTGGCAAAAAAAATGGGTCATATTTCATACTAAAGTTTACCTTATAAATTGTATCCACAGGCCTGATGAGAAAAATGTACGACTGCCAGCATATAGCTTCTGGAATACAACATGGCGGCCTTGTGAAGATGGAAGAGACCCTACAGAGAGTTTAAAGATATATAAAGCTACCAATTCTTTCAATTTATATTATTTACCGTCTTAAGACATGAAATAATATTCATTTTCCCATGCCCGTGGATTTAAATTCGAAAAATTGAATTAACGATACAAAAATTTTATTTTTCGCGTATATCAGAGAAACTATGCATTCAATCTATAATAATGCGATACACTGACAGGCTAAAAATTCCAACCACTTGATTTTTCCATGTTTTCATCTAAAAATATTTCTGTAAAGTTGTATTTGTATATAATACATGGTATTGGTAGATAATACTTAGTATTTATAGAATTTTATAATCTTATTTATCTTTAACAATCAAAATATGATTGGGTAAGAAAGATTAGAGAAAAAAAATTGAAAAACGAACCATTATTATTCTAAAAGGAATTAATTACATTATCGTTTAGTAGCGCGTGATTCCTCCTCTTGCCTTCACTACTTCTTGAAGATGCCTCGGCATACTTTCCACCAGTCGGGAAATGTCCCTTTGCTGGAGGATAGCCCATTCCTCCCGAAGAGCACTTTCAAGGTCCTGCAGTGTATCAGAAAGTGTTGCACGCGCTCTTATTCGTCTTCCGAGATTATCCCATAAATGCTCAATGCTCATACTCATTTAATCTTCTCCGAGCGGCAAGTTCAGAAATTTGCACACCTCGAACTTCTTCGAGCTGATGAATCGCTTGAACAACGGTAAGGTGCCGGTTTCGTAAAATTCACAAAGTCAAAAACCGGTCAGCTCTATATATTTTTATTTTACGAAAAAGTAATGGGGAAAAAAGTTGTTTAATATTAAATTTCCATTGAGAATATAGAAATAGGATAGAAATAGAAAAATCATCTTTATTCTGGGACTAGGTCCCTTTAGAATAACAGTATTGTTCATATATATTAACTACAAATCTGGTCAAAAGACTTATTACAATGAATAATGACAAAATACATGTAATACATTAAGTATTAATTAAGCTCTTAGGATAAATTAACGAGGACAGTTGGGTAATAGGGGTTCAGTACTACAATATTGGAGCTAAAATAATTGCATAATAATCACTGAATGAAATTAGAAAGGAAAGTAAAATCTATTTTATAGGTAAAGCATTGTAGTGATGGAATATAAAAATTTAAAAAAATAATAATAACTGTTAATATGTAGGGATATAGAAATAGAAATGTAGGGTTAATATAGAAATTGTAAAAAGTAAAACAAAAAAATATATAAAAAAAACAAATAATGATATACATATGTTCCCTAAGATATTTAAGTGATTATGCGTAAAGATTAGGAGAAGAGAAAATAAAATAAAGTATACATATACACATAGCGAGAGGTATGTTGAAGATAATTAGAAATAAAATACATTTCACTGAAATACATTCCATGAATAACAAATTAGAACTTAAGGAAAACAAATTTTATCTACTCACAATGCTTAGTGAGTGGTGATGAAAATTCACGTTCAACACAGAATAAAACAATAAAAAATAAGGGAAAAAAAATGTCTAAAGAAAATTAAATCCTTATAACATAGTCTGTATTTAACCAGCGTCTGATTGGACTGTGAAGAGGAATTGGAATAAGAGGGTTTTAAAGGTGGATAAGGATGATGCATGGCGGATTTTTAGTGGGACGGAATTCCAGAATGCAGTGGAACGGACAACGAAGGAATGTTTAAATGATGCAGATCTGTGGAAAGGAGTGTAAAAGTCAGAAGGACGAGATCTTGTGGAGAGGGTGTGGATAGATGATTTGAATTTTAGGAGATTGTATGCGTAGGACGGACGATGACTATTGATTATTTGGTAAAGGAATGTGCCTAGGAAATATTGTCTTCGGAAGGAAGGGAAGAGCCATCCTAATTCAGCATAGTGGTGCGAAACACGG